ATCCTCTGGCATGCAGTCTCTGTATGTTTATGTTTTCCAAACAATTTCAAACAGTAGCGAACTGCCCTAATGGAAGAATAACACATTGCTAGCATCTGCAGTGGTTGATCACCTGGTAGAAAACATAGACAATCACATTAAGTTTGTGTGAAGGTTAGGGGTAGTCCCATACCTTATAAATGTAAATTTGTTTATTTTCAGCTTTAAACATCAATTTGCTAATGATCCAAACGTGATGTCATGAAATTTATGAAAATTAAACATTGTTCTCATCTCTGAACTTATGCTTGTTTTATTTCATGCATAATGACATATGCTAGCTTTATGTGCAATGGTGTTAATCAAAACTTTGCTTTTCCATCTTTGATTTTACAGTCATATGCATAACCTTTAAAAGCCAGTGGACTTCATTTTATGCAGGAAAATATGAGATAATGCAACCACTCGCATGATTCTGAAACAATGGTGTCAAGGTCATTAATTTCAACAACTTACATCATTTTCTATTTGCATGGCCCTGCTGCATTCAAAAGTGAGGGATCCCCGACTCTGTAGTTATTCAAGCTCCTGGATTTACTGGAATAATAATAATACACTAAATGACTTAAAGCAGTGCTTCTGAATCTGTAGCCCATGGACCACACATGATCCTCTTAGATTAAAAAAAAAAAAATAAATAAATAAAATAAATTAACTGTGACTATCTCACAATGGCCAGAAATTACAGAGTTTGAAAATTACACAGGGTAATCATCTATATCTTTTCCTACATCTTTTTATTATTAGTTACACTACCTATGCACTTCCCACTTAAATCTCAGCAACAAAATAGGCTTTTTTTTTTTTTTTTTGTGCTTCTTAGCAGCACAAATTCAAACATAGAACAGCTATGCATAAGTCGGCAGGCTCATCCATGTAATTAATGCGAGTACCACAATTTAATTTTTAGCTAATAATATGATTATGCAAATTAATCTTGAATTACTAAAATATAATTTTGGTACTTATATACTGTTCTGTCAACAATGAAAATTGGTGGAGATCCTGCCAAATTTGCACCAGTCATTCCTGTGGAATTTTGAAGGAACTGATGCTGTTGTCTTCCATATTACATGGAACAATGGTTGCCAGAGCCTACTCTGAAGAGAGGTTGGACTTCTATTTTCCACCTCCAATTTTGACTCCCACCCCTCATACCTGGAAACATACCTGGAAAACCTGGAAAAGTCGGGGAATTTCATTCTCCTGTTTGAGTGGCAACCCTGTTAAAATTCATTTAATTTGCATGAGTTAATACATTGAAAAACGGTAGGTACTTCATATATCTTGTCGACCATAAGCAATGTGATTTGGGGGCAATTATAGATCAGCGTGACATAGCAGCGCACTCCTAACATCTGTCTTTTGTTGGATCTAAGCACATTTGATTTGATAAGCCTTTTTGGGTGTGTGTGTTGAACAGAGTTAAATTGTTATTGCTGTGTATCTTTCTGCATTCGAAAAAAGTTATCTGAGTTTGGCCTTCTGCAGCAGCAGGCAATGGATTATTTTCAAAATTATAGGATCCTACCATAAAAAAGATGTGTATTAATGGACATGATATGGTTAACTGAATATGGAATATGGCTCTAGTGTGGATTGGTGGGTGAGGGGGGTCTCCCACCCCTCTCCTCACCCACCAATCCACACTAGAGGACTCTCGGCTTGCCACATATTTAGAGTGCCGCCATGCCACATAGACACTCTACATTTACAAACATCTATGTCTTACCCAGGCCCTTCGGTACCATAGTAGGCTCTCCTAACCACTATAACATCTGGGCAACGAAGGAACTAATAACTATTTAATAAACAATCAGGATTTGACCAGTTTAGTTTCTGCAGCTTGTAAAAAAGGCTTTCATCGATTTCTACTCTTTGGTTAGGACCTCCAACTTTAACGGAAAAACACAGAGTACAAACTTCCCACAGGTAATTGTTATAATTTATGATTTTTTCGTAAGCCATATTCAGTTAACCATATCATGTCCATTAATACACATCTTTTTTATGGTAGGATCCTATAATTTTGAAAATAATCCATTGCCTGCTGCTTTGCAGAAGGCCAAACTCAGATAACTTTTTTTCAGAATGCAAGAAAAGATACACAGCAATAACAATTTATACTCTTGTTCACACACACACACACAAAAAAAGGCTTATCAAATCAAATGTGCTTAGATCCAACAAAAGCACAGATGTTAGGAGTGCGCTGCTATGTCACGCTGATCTATAATTGCCCCCAAATCACATTGCTTGATGGTCGACAAGATAATATGAAAGTACCTAACGTTTTTCAATGTATTAACTCATGCAAATTAAATGAATTTTAACAGGGTTGCCACTCAAACAGGAGAATGAAATTCCCCGACTTTTCCAGGTTTTCCAGGTATGTTTCGAGAAAATTCCAGTCTATCCACGTAATGTACATTGGCTTTGCTAAGAGGTAAATTAATTATGGTGATTGTACTGTGTATCAAATTCACTTAATTACTCAATAAATCCCAGAGGACATTTATTCTTAATATTCTTGGTACACTTTGTTTGATAATTTTTTACTTTTCACTTAAGAAACTTAATAAAAAGGATTAGATAACATTGTACGTTTATTAATTATTACATGATCATCACAGTTCAACATGAGGTAATCTGTTCTTATAAATTACAACGCAGTGCTAAAAGTTAGGTTAGCTTTTAGGTAAATTTAATTTGTGTGGGGGTCTTCTTAAAGGCACCTTAACACTTGAAAACGAAATTAATTATAATAGGAGTGTTTTTTCCACGAAGATTGAGATTAGAATCTGCCCAATCTGGAATAAAATAAGTTTTTTTTGCAGACATTCTGCAGCTAAATGAAAGAAAGAAATCTATTTAATGATATTTTTTTACTAAATTGAGGGATTTATATTTTCGCAGCATACATAAGGAAAAAATAGTGCATTAAATTTTGTGATGTCATATACTGCTAGAATAATTTCAGGATTATGCCAGAGAAAATTCTGAAATTTGGAAATATTATTACTAGATAAATAAATCTAGAGGGAAGAAGCAACATAAATGATATGAATAACATAAAATAAAGATACTTTTTAAAAGAATTAGAATATCAACGATTTAGCGAATATAGTTAGCCTAGACACCCGATTACTATTTTTATTTTACTGCAAAAGACAAGGTATTTATTAAAAAAGAAAACAAACAAAAAAAAGATTTTGCGGGTAAAATCCTAGTATCGGTACAGCCTTCGCATGATTTTGAAATGTCGCCAAGAACAAAATGACCGTTTACGCTCATCACCATGTCGCCAAATCCACTGTACCATACATGGAGATTATTCTAACCAAAGAACGTCATGTAAAGAAGAAAAGGTTCCATACACGTAAATGCTTTAACGCCGCTAGAAAGCGGAGGGAAAATTTGCCAAGGGATATGGCGACGGACCTGGCGGCCAGAATTTCCCTCCGCGATGTGACAGGAAATTGAGAAAACGTGTTTGGCGTTTTGACAAAAAAAAAACTACGAAAATCCATTTTAAAATTATTGCGAAAAATCCAAGAAGAACATTTTATCAAAGAACGTTTTTTCTGGATTTCGCAATAATTTTTTAAAACGGATTTTAGTTCCCCCCCTCAAAATAACTAATCCATGCATTAATTTACTTGTGCCAAAAAATATTTTCTTTCCTTTAGAGTTTAAAGAAATTTTAAATGAGTTCATTATGAATTCTTGATAACGCGACCTTCGAACTTCGACATCGGTTTCGAGCTTTGGCGACAGATATATTGCGCATGCACAGCTGTTTCCCTCTATGATGGAACGGAGCCACGTCTGTTGTAGAGAGGTTTTCCTTCTTTACAATACATATTTTTTTATTCTAACCTTCATGGTACCCTATACTAGGATTAAACCCATTTTGTTTTATACGAGGACAGGTACTTTCTTTAGTTCGTGCACTGCACATGCGACTCTCAAGGTTACTGGAAACCAAAAGTTACGGGGAAACTTGCTTTGCCTTTCTAAAAGACAATTAAATTGGAGCTGCGAAAATTGGCTCTACGCCAGCTGCCTGAATGACACTTGTGTGATACACAATTCGCCAAAAAAAGTGATCTCTTCCAACGTCGGCGCAAAACTCGCCTTTTTTGGCGGGATCGTTGTACGAAATTCCCTGACTTTCCCAGATTTTGACTAAAACACTTAAATTCCCTGACTTTCCCCTGAATTTTTTGGTCAATTTCCGAATTCCCCGACTTTTTCCGGTTTTCCAGGTAGCGTGGCAACCCTGTTTTAATCAACACTTCTTTTAAAATAAAACTATACTAGCAGAAACATGGGCTAAAAAAATTGCTTTCAAAGGGGCAAGAGTAAGGTGGTCTGCAGAAGTTCTATTTATAAAAGTGGTGCCCACTTGAAAAAACGTTTGAGAAATGATGGCTTAAAAGGAAAGCATCATAACAGACCCACTAATTAACCAAACTGATGTGCCTAATGCCTCTGGTAATAATATGCAGTCTATTAACATAATTGTAGACCTATCATAGATCTGAGATCTTTGTCAGTAATAAACAGCTTTCTTTGTGTTTACAACAGTTCTTTTTTTTTATTTTTTGCTCATCTGTTATTTTTCCTGAAATGCCTTTTTCAGTATGGAAACATTTCTTTTTTTTATTCATTCTACAAACATCATTCAAGTGCCTCATGCTGTTTTCTGCTGAACATAATTTTGCGTCATCTTGCAATTCCAGAGTTAGAATTGTAAAATTTCATGAAACGGTTACCTTAACTGCAAGGGTAATACAATTTTTACATTTATTTTCACATAAAAAGGTGTTTCTGATTTTCTGTGCTCCCAATTTTTGAATTAATTTATCAGGTCATTTTATGTACACCTTGTACTTTAGTAAAAATGTCTTTGAACATCACATTTATAGACAATGTTTTTCTTACTTAAAGACACTTACTTTTCATTCCCAGATTTTCATTTGTGTCAAATTTTAAAAATTCACTATCAATAACATTAGATTCTGCAGGTCCAAGATTCCTTCTTGAATTAATCATCTTTTGCCTAGATTTACTGCCAAATGCTAAAGTTAAATCATCAGCCTGAAGACAAAGAAAATGTATTAGTGTCGTTTGTTTGAAGCAACAATATATTTCAAGTCAGCATTGCAGATAAACACACCAGAAATAATTTATTGCAAATATTAAAAGATTAATAAAATTTAACTGTCAGAATCTCATACAGGAAAAATGAAACAGAAAAATATAAGGCCATAACATAGAATATCCTCAGGATGGCCTATTTAAGTCTCAGTATCCTGGGACATACTTAGGATAGTCTGAGTATGTTGATTCTCGGATGTCCTGAGGACATCGTAATTTAACATCTTAAGGATGCTTCGTTTAAGTCGTTATATCCAAGGATATGTAAAGATGTTCTCAAGATGCTGATTTTCAGATGTATTGAGAACTAGAACTGAACATATTCATATAAACATTTTTTTCTGTACTTTCTTCTGGTACTTAATTAAATGTACTCAACAGTCTATAGTTGTTTAAATTTAATTATGAATTATACTGACATACAGTAATTGGAAGTGCTTTTTATTTTAAGTGCTGTGAAAGGCCAATGGCAAAGATACGGTTTATCATTCAAGAGTTTTTACATGCTTACAGTAATTTAGAAGAAAAATCTAATAAATTGAATGAATAAAAATTAATTTTAATTCTTAATGGTGTGTGTCTTTTCCATCAGAAGACACTGCCTTAAATTTCAGAATATCCTTATTTTTCATGTAAAACGGATAGATTTACAAAAACTTTTCATATTAATAGTTATTGGAGGATTTAGCTTTATTATTTGTTATAGAAGACATAGTTAAACTACTTTTTGTAAATTGTTTCTGCAATTGAAATCGCAAAGGCAAGTGGTTAAATACTTTCTTTATTCCACATTAAGTAACTTTATCTAGTTAGTTAACAATATTCATATATTAAAGGTAGAAAAATACTTAAATTTTTCTTAGAAATGCAAAAATTTGTAGACATTTTAAAAAATTGGTATACATACAAAATTCTCAAACTATGCAAAACTGAAAAATATTTTAATATGAAATATTTCATAAATGAAGTGCAACTATTTTCACCACTTGTTGACTATATTTTATTGTATTTTTTATATATAGTCAAAGATTAAGGTAGAAGTACTACACTTACTATAAGTTCCCAAATTTCTCTTTTGAGACCAAATGAAAAGTGAATTAAATATTGCTGTGTGTTGAGTGTTAAATACAGCTTATCTCAAAATAAAACGAATTAATATATTTATTATATTATTATACACCATATATTAAGCAGAAAGAATAAATTGAATATACTTAGAAGTGTTCACAATTGATAGAGTTGAATTTCAAAATAAAATACTTTAATGGCATCATGGTTTAGAGTCTTTCGGTATTGCACAAAATGTATACTTAAATTAAAATACTTTATGTGATATGCTATTGATGATTGTCATGTAAATGACTTTTGTTTTATTTTGATTTGAACTGAATGGTTAATTTAAAAAAAAACTGGATAAGATAACCTGGATAATTTAATTTGGTGCTGATTTCAACTGTCAAACGTTTAAAAGGTGCAGGACTTCAGAAATTTACCAAATTTAATTTAGTGCCAATTTCAAATGGCAAATTTCATCTCATTAAATTTTGCATAAACTAATATCAACAGACCAGCAAAAATTATCTTCAAACTGCTTTTTCTATAATCCAAAAAAACCTATTAGTCTCGAATTGCGATTTTATATTGTCCACTGTAAATTTGTAATTTCGCTTTTCATTTAAGTCTGTTACCACTTGGTAAAATGTAAGACTCAAATTTAACCTGTTATTGATTAAGAAGTTAAGATATTTAAAAGTAACCCATGCAATTCTTAAGAATATATTTTTTAAACTTTTTAAACTGATTGATTTAAATAATTTAATTCACAACATATCTAATTAAAAACAAGTATTTTTATAAAATTGCATATAAAATTACATAAAATATTTCTTCACTTTCCAAATATAAAGAAGATATATAACTTTCCCATGTTAGTTAGTATCCAATAAAAATGTTTTGTTATTTCACCTGGGCCATCTGTATTGAAAATCTTCAGTGATAAACTGCATTAAACTTTGAGCCCTTTTGGGCAACTGTTAAAATCTGAACCCATTCAATTATTTTTTAATGAGTGAGCATTAAGATAGAATTTTAAAAGAGCTTCTTGGGTTACCTTTCTAATAATACAAATGATTATTAATGTGTCAACAACATAAGTTTTACAAAATAATAAATAGATAAATAAGCTTGCAGCATTTTCATGTAATAAAATTATTTATTCATATTTACTTTGAGACTAAAATTGTCTTAATCATAAAAAATTCCTTTCCGCAGTCTCACCAAGAGACTATAAATTCTTTACATGCATGAGGGGAAGATGGTTCATTAAATCTGTATAAAGATTATTAAATGATCTTTTTTCTTACCTAATTCTGAATACAAATTAAATTAGAAACTCATTTTGTAGAATAATTTAATTATACATTCAAGAATTAAATTTTCAGCTACTGGATTTCAAAAAAATTATCAAAAGATCTTTTAAATAAAAGCAAAAATTTCTCTTGTAATATTTCATACCAATGATTCACTTTAAGTCTCTTGCTCACTTTTAGATATATTTATAAATTATTAAATAAATTTAAAAAGTTCAATTAAAAAATAAAATTTATATAAATCTTCTGATCATTTCTTAGTGTCCCATAAATAACAACCAGAAGAGGATCTGAAAGTATCTGCAGAAAATAAGTAGGTTTTAGGCCATCACACCACCTCCGCACACTTTCAGTGGAATGTATGCATGCTTCCTGGGGATATACTGAGATATGACATTAAGCAAATGGGAGGATGTGTTTAGGATATTAAAGTGATATTCCAGGATGTCGTGAGGATATAATAGCTAGGATTACAAATCTTGATAACATCCAATATGCTGTTTGATGGGACCTAGATAGGATGTACTGGGATGTGACATTAAGCATTCAGGAGGATGAGTTTAGGAAGAAACTGGGATATTCTAGGATGTCTCGAAGATATAGTAAGTAGGACTTAAGCTCATGCACTTCAATTAATAACAAATAGTGTATTAAAACTGATACATTAAATTTAGAAATATTTCAAACTGAAATTTAAGATGAAAACTATTCCTATACTAACCTGGTAGCTTCCTGTTTTATTAACCTCCATATGACCTGTGAACAACAAATTATTAGAGCACATCCAATACTGTTAATCTGTTTCTGAATTTAAATTAAAAATATTCAAAAAATAAATAAATAAATTACACATTTTAGTAAATACGTAAAAGTGAACTGTTATTTAACAAAAATTCTCAATAAAAATAAGGTAAAAAAGTCTAGGCTCTCCCAGGGAATATAACTTAAAATAAGATGAATAGCATTTGACAATGAATGCTCAAAAGAATTACTATAAAGCAGAATGAACAATGTGTTTTGCCTCATGTTTTCAAAATACTTTATTTTTACGCAGGATATAACACATCAAAAATTCTGAAGTATTATTAATTCTACACTAAATCCATTTGACAGTTAACTAAATCATTAGACATATCTCTTCTAGCATGTATACTGCTTCAAAATGGCATTTTATTTTTTCTGTAGTGTTTCTATGATTTTATTAAGTGGTGATATTTTTTTTATGATACTACAGAATATTAGATGTCTAATTTTTTATAGTTGACTTAGTTACTACATTTAAGAGAAAAGTACTCTCATAAACATACCTGCAATACCTTTAAAACTTTTATACACTTGCCCAACTTTATGTCTGTGACACCTGTAAAATTGAGCTGATAAGAGATTGAAGAACATTTAGTCATATTTAATACTGTAAACCACTGTTAAAATCAGCTTTCTCTTCTCAACATATAAAGTTTTTAACCATTTCAAAAACTCGAATCTCAATTTTAGCTTGTTAATTCTTTTTCTCAATCTCATTCATCAGCAAACAAATATTTAGAGTGAACTTTCACTTTTCGTCACTGCGTTTCAACAGCAAAATCAATGGTGATGTGTAGATGGCAAAACCCCAAATGGAAAGCAACATCATTCTTAATTATGCAGACTTGTATGTGGGACACAGAATGTCAAATATGTTTACAAAATGTATTTAGTTTACATGATTTCATAATTGGATGTTAACTAAAAAATATGAATAATTTTTCAAGCACAGGCTCTTCCTGCTGCAAACAATAACCTGCTTCATGATTAGGACACTTGAGCCTTGTTTGGCAGTAAGCTCATCTGTGCATAAATTGAATATTAGGCTGATTTTTTACCATAAAAATCTTGGGTTAAAAATCTTCCAAAATGTCACTTCACAATGTACATTAGTTTTAATAAAAATTATATAAGAGTTAGTATTCATGTTATATGCAATGCTTTTAAAATGTAGTACTTTATGTGCTTCATTTTCAGATTTATGTTGGATTAATGTTAAATCAAGACTCATCCATAAAGATTACATGGCACTACAGCTCTGGGGTCTAACTGCAAAGTTCACAGACACAAATGAACCATGCTTTGACATGCGATGGGGACAAAGGAATACAAACCACAGGTCATCAAGCATACAGTCCGCTTTCATGTAGTACATGCGACACAGTTTGGTAGTATATGGGCCATCTGCTGTAGCAGAGAGACACGGCACTAGCTGTTATGCTGTTAGTAATCTACTTCATCTTGAACATAGCAATAGGAAGCAATTGTCTGCCATTGTGGTAATATTCTGGTGTCGAGATCAACACCTTCTGTAGGTTTTGGTCCTTTGGTAATGATTCCACAGCCTACTGAGGATACTATGATGCAATTTCAGCTCTCTCGCAACAGAGGATATCTTTTAACATCCCGACAGCCCTCCGATGCACTTCATCATGCAAATGGTGTCTCCACTTCATCTTTCTGCTTTGGCTATCTCTTATTACACAGAACTATTACAGCTTGCAAACTGATGCACAAGTGCGGCATGCTAATTCTAAGGCATTGTGGTGGGACTGGAAGATTCTATTTTTTGCTAATTTTAGCTGCCTATTTGCATTTGGCGATGCAACATCTACTTCATATGTAAATTATATGTTTTAATTCCCCTTTTTACATCCATACCTTTTCTTTTAACATTTGTTGCTTAACTTTAGCATGAGTGTACTAAAAAAAATTACTTCTACATATAATTAGATCATAAATGATAGATGCACTTAAAAGTCTCTTATTTTGAAAAGTAAAATTTTGCTGCTTTCCGAACAAATCAAAATTAAAAAAAACAACAACTTACTATTCAACAAGGGTTGCAGATGGAAAACTTCAGCATCATAAAATTTAAACTTTTGGCTCCTTTTATGGAAAACACCAACTTTAAATCTATGATGAAATATTACATATTTGCAATTAATATAAAGAAACACCAAAGAACTAGAAATAGTGAGCTAAAACCAAATATCTTTTTTGCTCCGAAAAACAATCTTAAGCTTGAAAATGATTAATATTAAAACTAAGATAGATATATTCAATTAAAAAGTGCCAATATTTGTCCCTGCAACAAATTAACATTTTTAATACCTTTAATTCTCATCATTCTTTACATGCCACTGGAAGATCTATAAGTTTGAAATTTTCATAGGAAAAACGTTTGCTCATGTATTTGAAATGTTTCAAGTAATGTAGAGATAGAATATATAAACAGCTTGTAAAATATTTTATTTTTTTCCCTTCATTTAATTAATTTAAAATGACCTATAAACATACATGTAACATACTTAACTGATGCAAAGCGATTTAATTTAGGGACAAGCAATCAAATATGTGAAAGCATTGCAGAACCTGTTCTTTTAGAATTGTATTTTTTAACAATTACTGCACTTAGTGAAAAAAATCTATTCTTGACTAATAAAGCAAAGCTCATTTATGTTTTTAATGCATTGCAGACATGCCTACTAATTACAAGCTAGGTGTAGTATAAACCTTGTGAAAGAAGAAAGGGAACTATTTTCTGCTTCTGATTTTGATGACATAAATGTTGTGCAGGGCACTGTATTCTTCGTAAGTCGTGTTTTCATGCTTGGATGAAAGTGTACTAAAGAATTAATGCTTTTTTCTCCTTTTGATTTATTTTTATATGCACATTGCAAACTTCGGCTTGACATACGTTTTGGAATGTAAATGTGAAGAACCTTAAAAGAGGAAATCTTCAAAAAAATAATTTGGGAGGCATTTTTTCCTTTCATGCAGTTCTTGCATATATGCGTATAAAAATATACATGATAAAATTCATGGTCTTCATTACAAAATATTACTAGACCTTTAACTTCCATTTTAATTCTAAAAATAACAGCAATAAATTTTTCTAATTAAAACTCCCTGCAGTTGTGATGCACACTTATTAAATCTGACACCAAAATCTACACATTAAACTGTCATGTGATCCGAAATGGAATTCAATATAAAAAGGGCAACCGCGTCGTAACCTTTTCTCTTCACTCTTCACCTCTACTTCTTTTTGCTGGGTCACTTTGCTGCTAGTTTTGCTTTTCTATTTTCATCCACTGTTTAAGTTGTAAGCTGTCTAAAATTGGGAGGATGCATAGTGCACTCATAGTGATAATGTGCATTATCAAGAAATAAAATTATGTGTGGAATTTACTCCCAAGTCATCTTTCTAACTATGGAGTTTTCAAGCAATGCATTAAAAATCTCTATGATGCGGAAAACCAACATCAATCCGTTGGAACTCTCATCAAGTCATCTTATTTCAATAATAATGCAGTTTTATTATATATACATATATATATCACCCAGATAAAATAATTATTCTTTAAAAAATCCCTATTTTAATTAACAGTTCAGAAATAGTTAAATAATTTAGCTACAGAATTACAAGAATTTACGAACTTTCATTAAAGTAACACAGAATACACGACATTAACACAATTTCAAATGAAGTTTCTCTAGAAATTCAGATGAAAAAACAGATCAACTATGCACTCATGAAAATTCTTTAGCAGTAAATAGTCAACATGAATAAAACGACATACAAACACGAAGCTTCTTCTGTGCTTTTATAATTACAACCAGTATATTTTATGTGACCATTATCAGCAACCTAAAATATTTAAACCAATATTACAAAATGCAATTTTAACATAAACCACCTCTTCATATATTTTAGATTTATAATAACAGTTAATAACAGTTAGGTTCCATTTACTGTTTGTGTGAATTATGGCAGCTTGGGAGGGGGGGAAGTCTTCCAATGAGTTGAATTCTACTGGGCCGATTGATGAAATTCAACTTGCATTTTTCATGTCTCGAAAGCATGAGTAGGATATGTATTAGATTTATATATAGCTTTGTTCTAATATATATATTTTGACACAAAATCGGACTTTTTCTGAAATGACGTGTCAATTTTTTCCCCATATTTCAATTCTAAGACTCGGATTACGACAAACTGCCAAGTTTTGTAAAAATTGCACAAGTAGTTTTTAAAAAAATTAGCCCTCAAAATCTTAGCTTCTCAATGTTAATTGAGTTTGGTATATATTTATAAATATCTCTTTTTTTACTAAATTTATTTAATTCTTCCTTTCACATTTCGAAATTTAGGTTCATTCCAAATAACATTCTTTCATTTTTTATGATTTATTTTTAAAATTTGTGTTTTAAAATAATTTTTATACATTTTTCAAAAAAAAAAATTTGAATTATAACCTATAAAATTTTTACCATCACCTTAAAGTAGATGTATTTCTAAGCATACGTGCAAAAAAAATTATAATTTTTTATTCAAAATTTCCAAAGATATACGTGAATTTATATAGTGGCGAGTTTTGAAATTTTGGCACATTTGTTGAAAGCAATAGTAACATCAAATGTGGTTAAGGCACTTTGTTAAAATTATTTGAAAGTACGAACGATGTGACTTTTTCCGCTTATCCACAATGTAACAAGGTAGGAACGATGTGACTTTTTTTTTGCTCCTGCACAATGGAAGGGAAAGGAAAATAGGTTGCCATATATTAAGAAGTTTGCCAAGTGAATTACTCTTGGCGCTAAAAAAAAAAAAAAAAAAAAAAAAAAAAAAAAAAAAGGGCAAGTTAAATTTTTGAATTTTATCATAAATTTTGCACCCAATTTTACAAAATTTAATATTTTGGCATAATTTGGATCGTAGTATCGAAATATGGAAACAAATTGGTATGTTATTTAAGAAAAAGTCTGATTTTGTGTCTAAATACCTATGTTAGATCAATGCTATAAATAAATCTAATATATATCCTAAGTCGTGCTTTCGAGACATGAAAAACACAATTTGAATTTCATCAATCAGCCCAGTTGAATGGGAGATATAGAACTGTTCCTCCCCCCTTTTTTTGTGCAGCGTACAAAGCAGTGAGTGCTGTAATGAGTTAACACTGCAATCTGAGTTATTGGGTGTGGATGTGGAAGCAGAATGATGGCTGAACAGGTGGAGGTTACATATATATAAAAGCAGAATAGTTCAAAGAATAAATCAAATAAATAGATAAATAAATAAAAAATACAATTAGAATATTCCAAACACATATTTTAAACGAGGCACATTTACACATAATGATAGTTAAATATCGGCATAAATGTAGCGCTAATTGATTCTGTTCATTATATAAACAAAGTTAATTTAATTGACTTGGGCAAGAGTCCTTTACGACAGCTGATGGGAATTATAATATTCTTATATTATTAGACACTGAAAAACATACTATATAGGCGAGGTAATGCTAATGCTAAATCGAACATATAATAGTTATTATATCAAACAAATTGGCAAAATAGTATGATAGGTTGTAATTAGGCAATGAAATTAAGGAATTAAATATAAGATTAATACATTGTATCATTAATACACTGTATAAAGTAAGGAGATCAATTTAAGAACAATGAATTCAAAACACAACACTGTGCTGTTATAGCTATCAGTACAAATTTCAAGTACAAAAAAAAGATGTAAATAAAACCACATGGATAAGTTTTGGCCAAAGTGCAGAAGAGGCACTGTATTATGTTAGCGCATGAATATTGCAACCTTGACCTTCTGTAAGGTTAGGTTGTTATTGTAAGGACATGACAGACAGGGAAAAGTTGGGTCAAAATGATGGGCCCTGAGCCGCTACTTAGCCCTATGGGGGTAAAAAGCAAAGTTTCTGCAATTAAAAGTTACATTACTTGAAATCTAACTGGGCTATTATAAAAAAAATTAGAAAGAAAAAGAAGGTAATTGAAAGGCCTACCTTGGCTATAAAAGTCTTGCTGATATGGATCATAGGCTTGAAGATATAAACAAACTAATCAAAAATGGTCTAAAAGTGACACTTCATTATGCCACTATAAAAACGTGCACAATCACTGCACAAATACAAATCTCGTCTTGAAATAATCTGAAGAGCTCCAGCTAATGGGTGGTGTAAAGACTGACATTGGATGGCTCTTAAATGTCGTGAAATACTTTAAGAAGTATGGTTCTTGCATGGCACTGCCTTTCGCATTCCTTCTTAGCATTGCCTCAGAGTAACCAAAATGAAAATATACTTTAAAAGATGATAATTCTTAATTAGGTGCCACTATATACTTATATTTAGTGTCTACATGAAGCTCTTTTTATGATCATTCAGATGATCCCATGATCCCACGTACAGGATGGTGCATTGATTTTTACTGGGATTTGATATTGTTATCAGAGGAGCTTCCTCGCACCATGCCTGCATACGTCCATATTCTTTAGTCCGCTCTCATGAATACTAAAGCATTTTCATAAAAGAATCCAAAGTAAAGCATTCAAAGCAATTTAAAAACCTTTGTTTCATTACAAGTAATTGCATCAAAATCAAGCCCTTCAATAGTTTTCATGACCAGCAACATTAAAAAAAAATCTGATGCTCCAAGCTATTTCATACTAATATCAGCCTAAAAATCATTCAATTACAATCAAAAGCCGTCAATCCGGACTCGTCGGGACTTCGGCGATTCCGGATTATAGATCATCAGTTTAAATCTGGCAAGATGGCATGCAGAAATTATAAAATTAAAAATATGAAACCGTAATTTATGAAATAAAGAACAATTATGATCTAAAGGTTATCAAAATTTACAAAAAAAAAAAAAAAAAAACTTAATATTTATTTGTTTACTTTACTTTCTTCGCTATCGGAAGCGAATTATAATGACGAGGAATTTGATTTAAATCATATCAAAGAAGGAGTACATCGAGATGAAATACTACGTTTAGTAAGGAATTATAAGCCAAATAAAATAAAAACATCTGCCCTGAAGATAAGGATAGTGCTGACAGATCAACTTCCAATTCATTGCCCGCCGCACCGTTCACCCGCCGCAGAGCAGCGTGAAATTGATAAACAGATTTCGAATGGTTAGAAAACAAAGGATATGCCTTTATCCATTTTTTGCAAGCAATTCCACTTTTTGTTTAATGGACTTCGAAACGTACTTTTGCTTTGTAATCCTTTACATATTAGTAAATATATATTGGAAATTCTATTTGACATAATCGAAAGTTCAAGCTTACTTTTATAAAATTGGTCTAACAGTCTGCAAAAAATAATAAGCCGGATCCAATTCGAAGATTAAGGAACAACGCACTCTGCAACATTAACTGAATTAGACAATTTTAGCTTAGCTTATACCATCCGTTATACATTAAACACGCATGCGTAAACGTATTTTGAGCAGGCGCACATGCACATTCGCAGCCATGAAGGTCGTACACGCATGCGTCAACGCGACACATGCGCAGAAAGTTTGTAGCTTTGAGGTCCGGAATATAGATCATTCCGGGTTATGGGTGTCCGAATTAACGACTTTTGATTGTACTTCAAAAATTATACTTATGTTAAAAGCAAATTTTTATAGTTCTAAATGTGAAAATAAAAGAAATTTTTTGTGCATGAAATGAGGAGGAAAATGTAAAATATTCAGTCTGACAGAATAAATTTATATAATTATTAATTTAATTAAAATGATATGGTTCACTTTAAAAATAAATATGCAGAAATAATTATACGCCAAAACTATCTTAAAATATTCCAGTTACCATAATAAATGCAAAACAAAAGTCTAGATGGTAGAGCATCCTCCAATAGCTGAGCTGTATTGAAAACTGGTAGTGGTAAATAATACTGGTAACTCATTCAGTGTTCATGTATTGGCAGACACACTAGCTGCTATGGAGTTTTAGTCATTTTCCATTGTGCTATGTGGATACAAGAAGATTTCCCTTTAAATGCTCTCCACGAAGGTATTCATCCCCATAGACCGACACCCCCTCTGTTACTTTGCCTTAACTAGTTAATTTAACCTAGATGATAGAGGTCATGTAAACTGATAATTTTGGAAAACACACAACATTAAATTATGGCTTACACAAGCAACTATACCACAGATAAATGCCGCCCCCCCCACCCCCGAAAAAAATACAACTGAACTTATTTCTCTTGATTAAGTTTCTCCTGACCAAATTCAGTCTTGAAATATACTGAAGCTTTTCATTTGAAATTAAAACCAATTAAGTTTAGCTTCTGTTTACGCTTAGAATGCTGATATTAACATGATAATTTAAAAATACATCTTGATTTTTTTAAAATATAAATATGCTGTAGGCAGTTAAAAGTTAATTTGAAATAATGAAAGCTTTATCTATTGCAAAGACCCATTTTGAGGTTTTCTATTGAGCTGAGTTCAGGAAAAATATTCCTTGAATAGATTCATAAATTTGATAACTGTTTTAATAAATCTCAAGTATAAACTTAATTAGTGCAAATTTTTTAACCCTCCATTACATGTTTTTCCATAAAATTTCAGAGTTCCCAAAATGTCATGAATAAATAGTATTTTCTTGATCACAATTCCAAAATGAACCTCTAATTTTGTACCTTGATTCCTTTCCTTCCAGTATATGTCCAACCCAACATTAGGAGCTGGCAGAAATTTTCATGGGTAATGAACTGGAAAACCATCTTTCTCCACTTCCATAACTCTTACAGGGTTCGTACACATTTCCTTACATGAAAATTAAGGACTTTTAAGGACCATCAAAGAAAAAATTAAGGA